TGTTGGGGTCCCCTGACAGACCTGCTGATTGTTGACTGAAAACTGAGCCCACTTCCAGCCTTGAAGGGTGACAAAGGCCAGAGTCTTGGGGGGGTGTCCCAGAGACTGACCAGTAAGCCTGCATACCCCACCGCTTTTTGTGACATCCCCCGTGGCTGCCTTGGAAGAGGGCCTGAAATTCTTACACATCTGGGGGGGGCTCGGGGGGGCCAGGGAAGGCCTGGAAGCCGAGGCTGGAGAGGGCTGCCTGGGCAGCAATTGGGTGAGCTCCAGGCTGCATCTCCACCTGTTCACTTGCTAGAGATGAAGCCATCCTGCCTGGGGGGGAGGGGGGGGGCGCTGAGGGGCTGGGTTCACTCTCCCCCTAGGGCTCCTATCTCCCAATAACAGAGGCCGCTGTCATGGAATCATCGAGAGTCCAGCTCACAGTGACGCTGTGGGACCTGGTAGAACTGCCCCTGTGGGTTTCTGAGACTAACTTCATGGGAGTAGAAAGCCTCATTCTCCTAGGAAGCCTGCTCTCCTCAGCTTTTAAATAGCTATACTTTCCTTGGTGGGGCCAGTGTTGCGGGGAGAAGGGGGTTCCACCTCTCAGTAGGCACTTTGAAAGTGCCCAGAGAGGGTCAGCGTCCACCAGCAAGGCTTCCTGTGCCCAGCCCTTGTTCTCTCTCCCAAACCCAGAACCAGCACTGGGGCATTCTGGGTCTGAGCCTGAGCCTTCCCTGTCTCCCAAGAGGCAGCCCTGGGTCCTAGAGTCGCCCTGGGAGCTTAAGAGAGCAGGCTGGGCTCTGGAGCCCACTTGGCCAGCCCCGGGGGTCCGTGTTCAGTCGGGAGGACACAGACTCTTAGTTCCTCCTGAAGGCCTCAAGAAAGCTCCTGTCCCCAGAGGCCAGCCTGCTGTCTCAGCTGTCCCTGAGAGGAGAGGACCCACCCTGGAGAATTCACAGCCACACGCAGACCCTCAGCAACCCTCATCCGCACAAGCACACGGACGCTAAGGGGCCATGCACACACACAAACATCAAAAGTTGTGTGTGTGCTGCTAACTGAAAGGTTGGCAGTTCAAACCCACCAGCCTCTGGGAGAAAGCAGAGGCAGTCTGCTTCTGTAAAGACAGCCTTGGAAACCCTGTGAGCCCAGGTGCCCTGAGTCCTACAGGATCCCTGAGTGGGAACTGGCTCAGCGGCCATGGGGATGGGTTGATTGTTTTGGTGGGAACCGCACAACACAGACACCGCTCTGGCTAACTCCGGCCTCGGTGCCACGGCTTCCCAGACACGGCCCAAGTCCACGGGCTCCCTCACTCGCTCAGGCCTCCGATTCCGTCAGGCTTTGCCTGCTGGGCGGGCACAGTGGCTCCCCTGCTCCAATTATGAGGGGAGAGGGTAGGGGTGCCCAGCCTCACCAGGGCTGTGCACCAGCTGGGTCATAGGCACTGCCAGAGCTCGGGCTCAGCAAACGAACGTCCCCCAGATGTCCTGCCTGCCTGGGGCTTCAGTGTGAGGAGGGACCATCTGGCTGTTGGGGGAAGGGAGATCTGCCCTGCTTTCTGGTCACCCTGCCCCCTTCTCCTTGGGGGCCAGCTGGCCTCAGGAAAGGCAGTTACTTTCAGCCTGAGCTGAGCTGGCGGTGGGCGGGTAGAGGGCATAAGAAAGGGGCTGGAGGCTCCTTGGGCCGGGCCAGCCCGGGCACCAATCCCCCTTGAAATGCCCTTTTACAGAGCCCGAGGCGGGGACAGAGACAGGGAACAGGTCAGTGTGTGCAGGCTGGGGTCCTAGACCTGTCTCATCCATCACCCTGAACATTCACAATTTGCTCTGGGGAGGAGAGAGGCTCAGCCGCAGGGAGGTGGGGTGCCTGGGAGGCAAACGCCTTTCCCCCAGCCGAGTGCCCTAACTCGGGGTGCTGGGCACTACCGGAGGGAAGTCTTGGCGGCCAGTGGCTCTCTCTGAGGCCCCTCGCATCACACCGAGGGGAGCAAGTGGCCGTCTGCTGAGGGGTGGCTCTGCAGTAAGACTGAAAATGGAACGATCCTCATTTCATCTTCAGATCATGGTAATTCCAGTTGCTTGTGAAAATACGTTTATGGTTCTCAAATCATCCTTAAGTTGCCGCGAGGGGCAGGCCTGGCTCTTCTGTCTCAAAATCATGCCGGCCCCCAGTCTAGATGATCCAGAAATGGAGTCGGGAGGGAAGGGTGCGAGATGGAGCTTAAGAGTGTGGGTAGGCACAGGAGAGGGTCCGTCCTTCAGCCAGGTCAGCCTCCAGCTGAGCCCATGAGTGAAGCTCCAAGCCCGGGATGAGGCAGAGAATGAGGGACATGGGTTGCCAGAAACTCACGGAGCAGAAGGACAGACAGAAGGAAGGGGAGGCCACAGCTGGGGGAAAGAGGCGGGTCCAGTCACCCACAGACCTGCACCTGCCCTGCTTGCCCATCTCTGCCAGGCCCAGAGCCACCTCCACTCCGTTCCAGGCCTGGTTCAGGCAGGCGGGGGCTTCCCGGGGCTCCCTCTGTTCCCCTGGATCCCGTGAGTGCTCGCTGAGTACGGGCGCCCCTGCAAACCACTGAGGGGGAGAGACCTGTCCACTCACATTAGGTAGAAGGCCCCCGGAGGGGGCAGTGCTGACGTAGGCCTTGCTGCTGGCTGCTGAGAGAGTCCACGGCGCCCCCCTCACCCTGCCCAGTCTGAGGCCCTGACTCTGGTCTCCTCCAGCGCTGGAAAGGTCAGGGGGTGGTTTTACTCAGTGGCCACCAGGCCCTTCCCTGGGTGCTCAGGACAGCAGGACAGCCGGGCAGCACAGCCCCAGCCCCAGGCCTGGGCTTCTCCCTTCTAATGCCTCACCCTCCCTATCCCCGCCTTCTACCTATCCCACCTCATATGACCTACTAGGTAGGTTTTATGTTCCTTATCCCTTGTTTACAAAGGAGGCCACTTGGGGAGTGTGCTGTTTGAAACCAAACCTTCGGATGGCCCTCCTGCCCGTTGGTGTTGGCTGCCTTCCCCACGGGCTCCGGGGGAGCGGGGTCAGGTCTCAGCCAGGCTGGAGGCCGGGCCCCAGCGAGGGAACACCTACCTTCTCCTGCCCAGGCCCGGGGTGGCTTGCTTCCTGGTGAGCAGGATGAGGTTTGTTCCCAGGGGTTTACAGGCCCGGGGAGGGAAAGTCAGAGAGCAGGGCCAAGGCTGCAGCACAGCGGCTCTGCCTGCTCTTACTACACCCTCCAGGTGTGAGCTGGTAAGGGCAGATAGTTACAGGTTCCAGGGACAGCTGCGTTCAAGCCCTGTCTTCCCCTCCGGAGGGCTCAGCGGCCCCAACCCTCCTTCCCAGGTGCATCCCAATCAGCTGGCTGCCTAGAGTTCTCCACCAAAGGAGCCCTGGTGTCATAGTGGGTTACGTGTTGGGCTACTAACTGCAAGGTCAGCAGTTCAAAGCCACCAGCCGTTCTTCAGGAGACAGATGAGGCTTTGTGCTCTTGTAAAGATTTACAGCCTCAGAAACCCCAAGGGATAGTTTTGCCCTGTCCTACAGAGTTGCTAAGTCAGAACTGACTTGCTGGCAGTGAGCTGAGGCTGGGCCAGGAGCTCAGGCCGGGCAGAGACACCACCACCCCCACCCTCCCCAGGGCACTCCCTACCATCCAGACAATCCTGACTCATCACAACCTTATAGGAGGATAAGGTAGAACTTCCCTTTTGGGTCTCTGAGACTGTAACTCTTCATGGGCGTAGAAAGTCTCGTCTTTCTCCTGAGGAGTGTCCTGGGGGTTCAAACTGCTGAGCTTGAGGTTAGCAGCCCAGTGCTTAACCACTGTACCACCAGGCTCCTCCCCAGAGCAATCTCACAGGGGTCAGCAGCAGAGGGGGTGTCCCCCGAAACCACTTCCGCATCTAGTACAGGATTTCTCCTCCTCTGCAGCTCTGGGCTAGGGGATAGAGGGCACCCATCCAAGTGTAGGGCTGGGCGGGGCATGAACCCCCAAACTCCCGGAGGTTAATAAAAATTAGAAAGAAAAGCACATCATCTGGAGCTTTTATTTTTCCCTGGGCTAGGTGAGGAGACCCCAGGCTCTGAAATCCAGAGACAGGAATGGAGCAGAAATGGGTGGGCGCTGGGCCCAGGGAAGGCCTGGGCTGCTGCTCTGTGCCAGCTTCCTCCCTGGCCCCCGGCCCCTCCCACAGCGCCACTCAGCCTCCAAGAGCTGCAGGCACTGCGGAGCCCCCAGGCCGCCCAGGAAAGGAGGGTGGGGTCGGGTCTCAGAAAGACCTAGCTCATCCCCATTTTACAGATGACAAAATGAGCCCCTGAAAAGCAGTGGCTTCCAAGACCAGGGAATGTAGACATTGACACTCAGGACCCATGCCCGCCCATAGCCACCTCTGCACGTATCTGACTGGGGTGTCCCGAGGAGCTGTGTGTGTGTGTGTGTGTAAGGATTTGTCTGTGGCTCCTGTCTCTCCACACACTGGTCGTTTTGTCCTTCTATGTGTCTCTGTGTGGGTATACAGGTGGGCAGGTACCTGGGGCCACAGTCAGGAATGGGACTATTCCTACAGGTTTGGGGGGACCTTCCCAGGGTGAATGGAGGGGCCACCGTGGAGAACAGGGCCTTGGCTCCCAGTTGGGAGGGGCGCCCAGGTAAGAAGGGTCCTGGGGCCGGGGTGGACCTGGGAAAGCAAAGCCCAAGATGGGCTGTGGGTCCCTGGGCGTGAGACATACTCCTAGTCCTCGTGGGCGCCCAGCCCTCCGGTTAGCCCGTGGGCAACCTCGGGGACACGGTTACATCACATGATGTGGCACTTCTCAGCCGACTGCTTGAGGTCCCCCAGCGTGGCCTGGGCCTTGTCCTTGAGTGAGCCAATGTCCAGGCCCGGGAGGCTGGCCATCTGCCCGAGGACGGAGGCGCTCTCCTCCTCTGTGTCCTCCTCAATCATCTTGGCCAGCTCCACGGGCAGCTCCACGTCCCCACCGGCCAGCTGGATCTGGCTCTCATCTGTCTCGTTCTGAAGGGAAGATGGGGTGGGGGGTGGGGCATGGAGCAGGGGGTGGAGGTCTGTGAGCACCCAGAGTGGGTGGGGCCACAGGAAGGCCTGGACTGGGTTCCAGGACCCTGGGTTCTTGGTCCCCTTTTCCAGTGAGCTCACCCCCTACCTCCACATCCCAGGAGCAAGCTGAACCGTGAAGATGGGAGAACATGGGTTCCCTCCCTCACACGCACTTCCGATCGACCTTCCGTCACGCTGCGGTATGGAAGGCCAACACAGTGAGTAAAGAGAGAACCGAACACCGGCCAGTCACTCTGCCATCATCCATGCCACACGCTCGCCCTGTGTCCTTAGCTCCCCTTCAGGGGTCCTGGTGGCACGGTGGCTCAGAGCTTGGCTGCTTACTGAAAAAGGATTGGTGTTTATGACCCGCCCAGCAGAACCACAGCAGAAAGCCCAGTGATTACCTGCGTCCATCAAGACTGCGTGTGGCCTAGGAAACCCCAGGGGATGGTTCGACTCTGTCACATGCATGGGGCCACTGTAAGTCGAATATTGACTTCACAGCACCTGACAACAACACACCGCACCTATTCATGGACCATCTATTACAGATATCGAGCTCAGTGTTTCCAAGTCACCCGTGAATCCTGGGGGGTGAGTTGTATTGTCTCCATTTATATGTCCCTGTGTGTAATCAAAAAACTCAAAATGCACAGCCATCGAGTCATAGGACCCTCTAGGACAGAGTAGAATTGTCGGTGTGAGTTCCCGAGACGGAACTCTTTATGGAGTTAGAGAACCCCGTCTTCCTCCTATGGTGGTTTCAAACTGCTGGTCTTTTGGCTAGCAGCCCAACACGTAGCCATTGTGCCCTGGTGCCAAACAGAGGCTCCCATCATTGAAGCAGGTAATTTATCCAAGGTCCCGCGACCAGGCCGTAGGGAAGAACTCCTGTCACGATTCCAACAGCAGTGCTCGTTCCGTGGCAGGGTCTGCTGTTTCCTTGTCCCTGGGCAGAGGAGGGCCTGGGGCTTTCCACCCAGTGTCCTGCTCAGTGGCATCCAAGTCCTCCCTTTGGGCTCAGACTGCCCCAACGGCAGGAGTTGTGCCACTCACACGCCTTAGCAGGCGTCTGAGGAGTGACTCTATTCCTAGCTGGACATAACTCAGTAACATCCCGGAAAAGAAGACCTTCTGGACCAGCTTCCCTTTGAAAGACTTCCAAAAGGACTGGTGCCCCGAGGGGGAGACAAGGCTCCCAGATGGTGCTTGAAGATCTGCTCTCCTGACGCAAGTGGAAGTTCAAGGTCCGGAGTGCCCTATCGGTGTGCTTCCGTTTCCCCTCAGAGCCTAGCCCCATTCTGGGCACACAAGTAACGCTCAGGAGTGGAGTTGAGAACTTGAGGGGGACAGAGCAGACTCATAAGCCTGTTTGGTGCTGCAGTAAGTACCACAGGGAGCATGGGGCAGATGCCTCCTGAGACATCCTCCCTGGCTGCGTAGTGGTGGCCCCAGGAAGCACTTGGCCTTCTTCAGGCAGACCCCATGCCTTGGGGAGCAGCTGGGAGCGTACAGATTTGAGCTCAGAGCCTGTAGATGTGGTGGTATCTATCTGGTCGTGTTATTCGGCGGATAGGGGAGGGTGTGAAGGTCAAATAAATGTCTGGCACAGCAGATGGTGCTAACAAGTCCTCTCTCCCGTCCTGCCTCTTGGCATGTTCGGAAGCCTCTCTTGCAATCACGCTGCAGTCAGATCTCTTGTCTTCCACCTCTTCCAAAGACCCTGGCCCTCCTGGCTTCATCTCCCAGGCCTGACCGGGAGGACGGGGAGAGTAGACCTGGCTCTAGGCATCCCTACCCTTACCCCTTACCCTACCCTTACCCCACAGCACCAAGCCCTCAGTTAACCGTGAGGTGGGTGAATGAGAGGGTTGAACGCTGCAAATAAGGCCAGGGGGCCTCCATGCCTGGTCCGCTTACCTTGGGCAACCGGTATTTGTCACGGAAGTGGCTCCGCAGCGTAGCCCTCTCGGCTTTCCTGTGTGTGAACTGGGCATCCCGCTCCATCCTGCAGGGAACATGGGGGGAGGGGGGCGGAATCACCCCAGGGCAGGGAGAAGGAACTGGGTTTGCTGGAGGGAGAGGAATGGAATGGAGGAGGACCCACTAGGGAGGAGAGGTGGGTGTCTGCCCTGACCACAGGCGGAGCCCTTCCACCAGGTCGCCCAGTGTGTCAGGAGGGCAGGTCCTCCCTGGGTGGTCACTATCATTTTTGCAGCCTCTCCCCTCATCACAGCACCCTTTGTGGTCCCCACACCCGCCACGGAATGGAGTTGGCTGTGTGTGTGTGGGGGGGGGCGGCGGTGTCTGTCCATATAATTCTCTCTGCAGACCCTAACAGATATCCTTCCAGGACTCTGACTTGGTCTGTTTGCCCCCACCCTTGCCAGGCTGTGGAGGGTGGGGGAAAGTAATTGGGGCAGACTTGGGTTCCAGCCTTCTCTCCACTACCACCTTCGGTTTGTGCTTGGGTAAGTCACTTCTTCCCTCTTCTGTAAATGAGGATAATAGTTTGCAACCCCAAACACGGTTGTGAGGATTGAGAGAGAGAATGATGGCTTACAGTGATGGGGGTTCACCATGTGCCACGTGCTATTATAGGAATAAGACACTTCATCCTATAACAAAGATAGGAAGTGTACATTATGGAGCCAGCCCCCTTGGGAGTGCAAACGGTTTAATGATCTCTGCTGTCAACCTAAAGGTTTGCAGTTCGAGTCCCCCCAGAGGCATCTTGGAAGAAAACTCTGGTGATTCACTCATGAAAAATCAGTCACCACAAAGCCTCCTCCAACCCATGTGGGGTCATCAGAGTACGAGGTCACGCAGGGGTCCTGATCTTTGAAAATTAGTATCTAAAAGTATTATTAATTTTTTTTATTATTAATTTTTTAACGTGGTAATAACATCCTCATTTTACAGAAGAGGAAAGAGGCGCAGCAAAGCCAGCCACCTGTCCAAAGTCACCCATTCACAGGCAGTCAGATCTGAACCTAGGTAATCCCAACTTGGCCGGCTGCTTTAACTCAGCCCCCACACAAGTAGGCACCCACGTACCTAGGAGAGTCCCCATGGTGACCCAAAGTGCTCAAACTAGGGTCCCTAGTTGGAAGAGCCAGGTGACTAGGACCAGAGAGGATTAAGGGATTATTTGTTTCATCACCAATGCACATGCCGCCCCGCCCTCCCACCCCCATCCCGGGCCCCTGTCACCCCTGCCCCCACTCCCTCTGGGATGCAGGCTGAGAGTGAACAGGAGGGGAGGGGGCCGCAGGCCGGGGCTCGGATCTGGGGCCGGGGAAGGGGCGCACTCACTTGTCTTCCAGCAGTTGCTTCTGGTATTCCTGGTACTCCTCCCTGGTCATGCCCTGCGCTTCGGCCGCCGACTTCTCCCCGCCCCCCTTGTCTTCGCCGCCCCCCAGGCTCCCGGTGAGGTTCTTCAGCTGGCCGCCCACCATGGTCTTCACCATGAACGCCATGGTCGTCGCCAGCACCAGCACCAGCGCGGCACGGGGCGCCCCGCCGATAGCACGAGCCGGGCAGCGGCACGTCCGCAGCCTTCAGCACTGGCTCTCTCGGACAGCTCCCGCCGCGGGCCAGCGCTCCACTCTCTGCGCCGCGCTCTGCCCACCCCACCCGCGTGCCATCCGGGCCCCGCCCCACCTCCACAAACCCCTCCTCATGGGGCGCGGAGGGGCATGCACGGGGCTGAGAAGGCTGGACCACGTGCCCTATCTCCACTCCCGCCTCCCCCACGTGCCTTCTTCCACGCCAAGCTGTGCCCACAGGCCACTGCTGGCTGTATTAGGGCAACGGGGATGGGGTCGCTCCCCAGGGGAACGGGCTTCATGAAAACGCGCTGAGAGGCCCTTTTCCTACCTTCCCCTCACTTCCTGTCCTCACGGGTCACATAGACAGCCAGGCTGTCAGCTGGGATCCCTACGTCATGTCCCCCAAACCTGCTACATACCCCCCCCACACCAATTCCTGCTGTCTAAAGAGCTCTGCTCTGTGAGGGAGCGAGGGCTGGGAACCTAGGTCCGGTGCTTGGATACGCTTCCCAGGGTCCTGTGTCACATGCCTGCCCTGCTGACCCTTGGAGCTGCAGGCTGAGTAGGGAGGGAAGGGTGGTTCCTGTTTGTTGACTGGGCTAGTGAGTTTATTGTGCCAACCTGGACGATAAACACATGTGGGCTTAATTGAAGGGCGGAGAGATAAATGGCTCAATGAGCCTCACCTTTCGTGTTCTCAGGTCTTTTGCTTTGTGATGGTAGGACCAGGATGCAGCTGCCCTAACCAGTTCCCTGCTTCAGCTGGCAAGGCTCACTTCCTGCAAGACATCCCTGAGGAGAAGCAGCCCTGGGTGCTGGAGCAGCCGTGTGGAGACCCCTCCCAGCGCTGAGATGCTTACGCATTCACTGACTCGGCTTTCCTCCTGCAGTCGGCACCATCGTGTGTGTTTTGTGAGATGGAGGAGGACTTTGTGGATTGGTGTCGGACATATGGGTTAATGTTGGACTTGTGGGTTTGGGCAAAACTGGGTTGGGATGTTTTCTTGATGTGCACTTAACCTTTATATAAAACTCTCTCTTATACATATGAGTTTCTGTGGATTTGTTTCTTTAAAGTACCCAGACTAACACAGCCTGAAAGAGCACTGAGAGGCTGTACTCTCACTTCCAGGTACATTTAGGGACAAAATTGTGTACAAATGTGACCCTTCCCCCTCCCGCCCCCACGGCCATAGTCCAAGGTTCAAAGCTATCTGGATTTCTTGGAAGTCAAGTGAGTTCTTGGCCTCCTTCTTTGTAGCTTGGTGCCCACTCCCAGGGTACCTGCCCAGAGGAGGCAGAGAGAGTCCACAGACCGGAGGTAAGTGAGCAGATCAAAGCAGAAGGCAGGAACACTACATTTAATATGCTGGGAGTGCCTCCTAAGGAAGCTAAGGTAGGAACTGGCCTCCCACAGGGAGCAGAGCAGAGGACACTTTGAAGGCACAATTGATGGAGTTTTCCATGCACCCCCCCCCCAACTGTTTCCCAGTGAGAAGTGGGCATCACCTGCCCTTGCATGGTGCAGCCAGTCATGCGTGGGTGCTTCGAGAGCGGGACTGCCTCCGCAGGACCCCCAGAGCCCTGGGGATGTGGGGTGCAGGGCCCAGAGGAAGGCTGCCTGTGGACAAACAGGCCTGAAGGATCTTGTCCAGCTCCTGCCTATTGCCAGAGAAGGAGAGTCACTTGGGCTTCCAGCCTTGGCGGCTAAGCCTCCCATGATCGCCAGCCCCCCACCCCCACCCCATTCCCTCCCAACAGCCTTCCCTGTGCAAAGACTTTCTCAGGGTCCCCTGGCCTGCCACAGCACACCCCGACTGTCAGGTTGCTCCAGCTTTACTGTCTGCCCCACGTTCCCGAACATGTAAGCTTGGGGTAAGCCTGTCCTTCCCTCTGCCGGACTCCTCACCTGGAAGGCCAGTTCCTCTCCCTCTCTGCCTTTAGAATGTCACCTCTCTTTGGAGACTGTTCCAGCCCACACGGTCTTGAAATTTCAGTAACAAGGTCTGACAGCCCCCTTCCCGGGGCTCATAGCATACCCCGCATCTCTAAGTGTTCTATTCATTCATCAGACGCCCACCAAGCCATGGTAGCTATCTCCCCATCTCCGTAATTCTCTGCCTAGATTTTTCTCTAGGCACCATCTTTTTTTCATACCTTTTCTCTCGCTGTCCCCTCTGCCTCAAAGCTCCTGCCTATCTTGTCAGGCTGGAGAAAGGCTGCTCTCCTTCATGACCTGTATCAAGTTTCTTTTCCAGATCCACCCCAAGCCGAGCCAGGTGCCTTTCCTGCAGCCCCTGTCACGGCACCAACCGTAGACAGTGTGGCGCTCACTTCCTCGTCAGTTTCTCGAGCTAGCGAGTGAGCTGGTCAGTAATGCAGAGGGAAAGAATAGATCTAGCCTGAGCTCTGCTCCTTGCCAGCTGGTGGACTGGGCAGGTCCTCCCTGGGCCTCAGGGTCCCCTCTCTTACATAAGAATGAGTGTCGTGCTGCCCAGAACTGGAGATGCTGGGCAGGGGTAGAGTTTGGTCTGGGATGGCCCACCTGAAGTGCACATAGGCGAAGAAGCCTACAGTCTGGACCAGGAGGAAGAACAGAAAGAAGCTGGACCGCAGGCATGAGGAGGCCCCCAGGGGCCGGCGAGGTGGGCGGGAAGCCTTGGTTGGTGCTTTCTGAAAGGGAATAGTGTAAGGAGGGGTCCCAAGCTCAGCTTCCTAGCCAGCAGTGATAGGGGGGAAAAGTTGACACTGGGCCATGTGTGGGCTGGGTCTGCCTCCCCCAGGCTCAGGAGGCCTGGCTTTCATCCAGGGGACGTGGGGACAGGCCGAGTACAAAGCTGTCTCCCCTCTCATGGCCCCATCTGGGAATCACCTGGGGGCCACAGGCGAGGGCGAGATGGGGTAGGAGGAGAGGGCAGTACCAGCATCACCACTGAGCTCCGAATGCTCTGGGCTCAGATCTGGTCATTGTGCATGGAGGGCATTGGACCGAGTGGTCTCCCGAGGTCATGCTGATGGTAAGTCTGAAAGCTGGGACTCTCTAGAGCTCAGATCTGGGTCCCTGAATGCATATGTGTGCACACACACACAGAGACTGGTGTAGACGGCAGGGGAGGGCAGGAGGTGCGTGGGCTGCGGCAGTGCTAGATGTAGAGTGGCCAGTGGTCCTCATACTCCGCCCCCCCCTTGTCCCCTCTCACCGCCAGGTCCCAAAGGTCCTTCTGCAAGAGGCTCAGGATCTGGCTCAGCTCTGAGAAGTGATGCTTGGTGCCCACTGGCAGGTAGAACGCCCGGGTGCCTGAGGCCATGCGGGCGGCTGCAACCCTGGCACCGGGGGCAAGGAGGCTGGTTTGCTCCCGCTCAGACTTTTCCCCAACCTTTCCCCACAGGCCTCCCTCATAAGGGCCCTTCTCAAGGATCGGTCTTTTCACCCCAAGTCCTCCCCCTGGGTCTGGGGACAGCTTTCACTTTAAGCAAGATTCCCCTCAGGTTGCCTGTCTCTGCCCCAGTTTCCCCTGGCTTCTGCACCCCTCCCCAGACCCCAGGGGTTCAGCTTCAATCTGCCTCCCAATAACACCCGAGACGTCTAGATAGGGATGTGCTGGGTGGCGGGGGTTGGGGACAGGTTAGGCTGGAGCCATACCCTCCAATCTAAAGACCCCTTGTCCATGGCAGGAACGGGACCCCTCCCCTCGGGCTCCATGGGGAGTTCCAGAGGTCTGGGTCGGAGGGAGAGGTTGGGAGGCTCCGGGAAGGATGAGAGAAAGTCGAGGCTGCCCTCTCCAACTAGATATACCCTTGATGGAATTAAATTCAGGTCGACTCCACACACCTCCCGCTTGGCCCCCAGCCTGTCCCCTGTTGCTCAGGAAATGAAGGGCCCATGGGGAGGCCTGTTCTCCCTCCTCCACCACCTCCCTCCACCCCCCTACTTCACCCTGCACCCTTACCTCATCTCCTGCAGGTCCCTGAGTAGAGTCTGCTGCCCACGGAGCAGGGCACGGACCTGGGCACTGTCCTGCAGGAGAGCCAGCCTCTGCTCTAGGGCCCAGGGCCCAGCCCTCCTCTCCATCCCCAGCGACAGACAGTCCAACCCGCTTCTGAACAGGGGGGTCTCCCCAAGGATCGGGGACCAGTGAGTTGATTGAACCCACATCCATGGGGGCCTCTAGGTTTCCCTTCCTTGCAAGCCTCCTCTCTGAGGGTGGCCGCTGCCCCCCTCCCATACAATGTCCATTTTCCTTTCTACACGAGTCTCTGCCTCCCCTTCCCTTCCAAGGAGAGGAGACTCAGCCTAGTGCTCTCTCACTCTCTGTCCCTAGGCCATGGCCACACGGGGAACCCCTCTAACTAGACAGCTCCTGATGCCTGAGCCCCTGTTCTGCTGGGTGACCCAGACAGGAGGCTGAGGTCTGGCAGGAGGGCATCCTGAGCGTGGAGATAGGATCAGAGGCTCTGGCATACAGCCCCCACCCCGCTCTCCACTCCAGCAGCCCAGCCTAAGCTGCTCTGGCCTGAGGACACCAGATTAAAACCTCAAGCTGCCAGAGCCCAGCAGTGCCCGGGAGAGCCGCTAGCCTCCTCTGCCCGGTCTAACTCAGGCAGCTCGGGGCCTCAGGGCCTGAGTCCCTGGAGGAGGCCTGGGCATGTCAGTGGCAATGAGAGGAGGATTCTGGTGCATCTGAGCATTAAGCACGCCACACGTAATCACACGGGGAGCTCCGTGCAAAATCAGCACCTGGTCTGTTCCTGTCCTGTGGAGACTCAGGTCCAGATGCCCGGCGTACTCCCCCTCCCCCAGGGCTCTGAGGGCATCTGCCCACCCCCGATCCTGGATCCTGATCCTGTCAGGTCCACCTGTCCTGCCACCAGCGGCCTCTCCCCACAATCCCCCTGGCCCCCCAGACTGTGGGAGACTAGCTGCGTGCAGAGAGAGGGCAGCGCCTGCTTCTCCTGGAAGAAGGGAGATACCCCAGTTGTCCAAGCGGCCACTCACCCATTCTCCCCCGGGCGTGGCCCCATCTAGGGACCCCGCTTGCTCCCTCCATTGCCTCTCAGCCTGGGCCAGCTGCTCAGAGAGGCCCTGGAGAGCGTGTAGGATCCGACTGTGTCTGCCCAGCATCTCCTCCGGGTCAAAGTGCTTTTCCTCTGTGGAGGGGGGTGGGGGTGGGGCCAGGGTAGAATGGTGAGAGGCAGCCTTGGAGGGCTGGACAATGGGGCTAACCTTGGGCCTTCCTGGAGAAGGGGACCAGAGAGGTGTGGCTCTAGCCTCAAGCCCCTCACCTAGACCAGTAGGTAGGGTAAGAGGAGGAGGGACCCCAGGTGCTGCTTGGATCTCGGCCGCTGAGCCCAGGCCCCCCCTCTGCCCCGGTGACCACATGCCGGGTTTTAAGGGAGGAGGGTCCTCCGACATGGAAATGGGCCCCGCACCACCTGTTCACTTCTCGGGTTCCCACACCTTCGTCCTGGGCTTCAGGATCTGACTTTGAAATGATGTCCCCCTTAGCACCCAGCGCCAGCCTTCCCCGGAGCTCTTCCAGTTGCCTGGCCAGGCAGCGCTGTTCCTCCCCTAGGAAGGGCTCGGTGGCAGAGGCGGCCTGGAGGAGAAAGACAACAGTTCAGGCTAGTGCCCCGGGGAAATAGATCTGGGGGCTAGGGCTGCCTTCTCACAGGTCCCCCCTCCATGAGTCCTGTCTCCCCCGACTCCACTGCACACATCTCCCCCGTCAGTGAGGGGTTCACCCTGTCTCTCCCACAGCTCAGCTACAACCTCCAAGCTAAAGGCGGGGCAGCACCCATTCCCTGAGCCCCTGAGCAGGTCAGAGCCTTCGTGCGTGGCCCCTCATCCCCCTGTGCCCCTCCCCACGCGAAGCTGAACCCCAGCCAGCTGGAGAGGGCCTGAGCACAGTGCCTGGCTCCAGAGTTCCTCTGCCCCCAGCACTGCCCTGGCCCTGCACGGGCCAGGCCTGATGGAGCTCAGAGGCCGGGGGCTATTGGACACACTGACAGGTCTGAGAGCCCCTGGCCTGAGCAAGTAGGTTGAAGAGGACAGAAGTGTCCCTGGGCTGCACCTCCTCCACTACCACCACCCTCCCTCAGCAGGCCTGGGGCTGGCATCACCTCTGGACCTGGCTCCCTCAGACTGAAGGTCAGGAAGGCCAAGACGTCATGGTCATCTGGAGGGGGGACAGAGAAAGGAGGTGCAACTAGCCCTGCCCCCGCCCCCCAGCAGCCACTCCTGCAGCCCAGGGAACCTCAGGCTTGTCTCTCAGGGAAGGTGCATGGGGACCAGGAGAGGCCTGGCTGGGGGCTCCCACAGCCCAGGTGGGCACCCAGTGAGTGGCTCAGTCACTTGGCATCTAGCACACCCCAAAGCACCTTCATCCCCAGGGGCACAGCTGTTCCTGACAGAAGCAGCAACACAATCATCACCTCCTGGTCTGACCCCGACCCTGACCTTGCTACAATCCTCCTCCAAAGTCTTCCATGGCTCCTACATCCCAGGTCTAAAGGCCCAAGGACTGGGGCCTCTCTGCCTGCAGCCCTTTCTCCGGGACTCGGCCTCATGGCCCCTCCATCAGATCCTGGCATTGGCTCATTCCCATCTGTCCCTCTTCCACTGCCCGCTTCCCCCGGCCTGAGACACCTGAGGGGCGAGACTGGCCTCAGAGCTGCTGGAATTGGACCTCATTTGAGACACGTAAGGACCCTCCCCACCAGGGGTCCTGGAGAAGACTGTGACTTGCCTGGCTCACAGAGCAAGGAGCAGCCGACTTCACACCTAGTGCTCCTTAGCAGATGTGCTCAGGATGGCTCTGGAGGCACCTCTACTTTTACCTGCTCTCCAAGGTGGGCCCTTACCTGCCAGGGTGCTAGTGGAGGCCGAGATGCCAAAGAAACCTCCAGGGGCCAAAAGCAGGGGTCCCACATTGACACACACCTCCTCTGGGTCATTGGGAGTGAGCCCCCGGCTCACGGACACCTGGGGGCATGGAGGGAGGGAGGGAGCCCCTAGGTCAGTAGGTCTTGTCCCCGAAATCCCTCGGACCCCTTCTCTCCATTATTGGGGCCATTGCCCTGGCGCAGGCTCTCGGCACCACGTTCTATGGGGACTTTTGTAAGAACTTCTTAACTGATGTCCCTACCTCCAGGCAGATCTAACACAGCAGTTCTCAAACTGTGGGTTGCAACCCCTTTGGGGGTCAAACGACCCTTTTACAGGGGTCGCTCTATTCATAAGAGTAGCAACACGACAGTGATGAAATAGCAACGAAAATAATGTTATGGTTGGGGGGTCACCACCACATAAGGAACTGTATGAAAGGTTGTGGCATTAGGAAGGTTGAGAGCCACTGCCCTAGGTGTAAGAGTGCCTCCCCTGGAGCCCAGCACATGGGATACACCCACTTGTGACTCCCAGTTCCCTGGCCTGAAGGGGTGTGGGCAGTGGGCAGTGGGGCCCGTCAGCCCTGATGGGTATGTGCCATGCTAAGTGAGCAGGTTTGTGTGCTGTTAGCGAGTCCATCCCTTTGGCCTTCTGTGCCAGGATCCCACATGGTATGGGGACTTGCATGTGTGTCTGGGGCCCCATCTGGTGACACAGGCACTTGCTTATCTACGGAGGTCACGTGCACTCACACCAAACAGTACCTGGGAGGTCCTCTAATCCCCTGCCCCACCCTGCCCCACCCACAGCTGAAGCTGGAGGGGTGACTCACACGCAGCCTCTGCCCCCAGTAGGTGATCCGGGCTCTGAAGGGGTGTGGCCGGTTCCTGAAGTCCTGGTAGCAGGAGCCCAGCACCGGGCTGGCTCCATCCCTGCCGATACTCAGAATCCAGCCAGGCCACATGGGGCCCAGGCTGCTCTGCCCAGACCTGCAATGCCACCCTGCTCCCCACCCCACAGCCTGGCCCAGTGTCTAATCTCAGTCTTCCTTGCTGTATTCTGTTCCCCTAGCACAGCGGTTCTCAACCTGTGGGTCGCGACCCCTTTGGGGGTTGAATAATCCTTTCATAGGGGTTGCCTAAGACTATTGGAAAACACATAAATATTTCACAATATATAATTACATATTGTTTTGTGATTAATCACTATGCATTATGTTCAATTTATAACAATGAAAATCCATCATGCATATCAGATATTTACATGACAATTCATCACAGTAGCAAAATGACAGTGATGAAGTAGCAACAAAAATAATTTTATGGTTGGGGGTCACCACCACATGAGGAACTGTATGGAAGGGTCGCGGCATGAAGAAGGCTGAGAACCACTGCCCTAGCAGAAGAGAGCAAGGGAAAGCGAGGCTTGCCTGTCAGAGCCATGGGACTGGGAGTTTGCAGAGAAGAGGGGTCAGGGCTCCTTGTGACCTTTCCCTAGGGGGACAGAGGCCTGGATCAATGGTCAAATGGAGGGGGCCCCTGCGCCTCTGGGTGGGGCTTCTCTGCCCTCCCCCTCTACCCAGGGCTCAGGCTGCAGCAGAAAACACCAGGTTTGACACCAGCAGGCAGAGCCAAGGAAAACACAGCCAGGTGGTCAACGCAGCCACCTCTGGGGAGTGGGAGAAGAGGGTGGGCCAGAAGGAGAGGTCCCGAGGTCTTAGAGGCACACGGGACACTCCATGTCAGTGGTCCAGAGGGAGATCCCTTAGAGCCCTGGAAAAGCCAAGTCCGGGGCCACCTGGCTGTGTACACCTAGCTGAGTGACCTTGGGCTGATGATCTCAAGTGCCAGAGCTGAGCCCAGCGCTTAAAGTAAGCATGGTAAGCAGAGCTCTCTCAGCACACTGCTGCACTAAGACAAGGAGCAGCGGAAGGAGGGCTGCTCTGCCGGCCACCAGCACTGAAAGCTCCTCCCTGCTTGGCCACCAGCACTGAAAGCTCCTCCCTGCTTGCTGAGAGGCACTGACAAACTGGCCCGGCTGGGGGGAGGGGGCGGGGGGTGGGGGGGGTATGTGTGTGGTCACATCACCCAGAAAAAAGAGAAACAGCAGCCGCCTGGCAGGGTCCAGGGCACGGCCCCTCCTCAGACAAGGCTGGCCGACGTCTCAGTTCTGTGCACAGTGTGACCTCAGGCAAATCTCGTCTGACAATGGGCACTCACTGTCCCCACATGTCAAGGGTGCCACTAGGGGGTGGGCTGAGTCCAGGAGGAGGAGGAGCAGGGTGGCAAGACCTCCACCCACCGTGGCCTTGTGTGGGGGGACATAGACCTCAGTGGGATGAGTCAGAGAAGAGCAAGGAAACACGGGGTTCTGAGGACCCCTGACGCTCAACTGAGACAGTCAGAGGGCAGCCCGTGGGTGGGAGTGGGGTTGGGCTGGGACAGCTTTACTCATCCCTTATTGGGATGGCAGACTGGGCTTGGGACAGGGGCTGGGGTGCGGCCAGGTAACTGCTGAGCCCCTCCCAGCCCTGGACCTGGGGCGTGGTGGGTCCAGACAGGTCTTACCCAGTGGGCTCATCGGGGCTGTGTCCCTTGCTGGCCAGCACACGGACAGCAGGGCTGTTCTGCAGGGGGCAGGGTTGACAGTAGCCTGAGCTGTGGCCACAGAAGCTGGGGGCTGGGGGGCAGGAAAGGGGGTGGCAGATAGGCAAAGACCAACACTCACCTGTGTGTCCCCCACTGAGGAGTCAAAGAGGACCTTGATGCCGTCCCATGAAGCTGGCCCCTCCAGGATAGAGCCCACGTGCCCCCTGTCCCGGGTGTACCACAGGGCCTGCAGGTCCCCAGCCCAGCAGCTCAGGGTCTCTGCAGGACACTGGAACCCCAGACCTGCGGCCAGGGTAGGACTCACCGTCCCCCTCCCCCAATGACTCGCTCACTTTAATGGGGCCACTCACCAAACCCTGGGCTCCCCGGCGCCCGGGCCCAGTCACCCTGATGTGCATCTCCACCTCCCAGGCAGAGAAGGGGACCACAGCCTTGCTCCACAGGGCGCCACTCCGGTTCCGCATGGACGGGGCTAGCCGCACTTCCTCCAGGCCCGGGATGGCGTCTGTGGACCATGGCAGCTTAGGGCTGGGGCCTCCCCACACCCCTGAGCCCCCCTCCTTCCTCAGAGGCCTGGACCGGGTTCCAGGCAGAGACAGCCCAGGCCGCACCGGGCCCAGATGCCCAAACATTGGGAGGCAGGGTTCCACTGGGGAAACGGAGCTCAGAGCCCAGCACAGTGAGGGGCCTTGGCCAGGGGTGGGCAGCAAGGTGGGCCTGCATGCTCACTGGATCTTCAGCGCATGTCTGTGGGGCTTGTTTTTCTAGAACCCCGTTTTACAGACGAGGCTCCAAAAAGTTACGGGAGTCCACTCCAAGTGCAGGGCTGGCGCTCAGCTCCATCTGGCTCCGAAGTGTGAGTATTCCCACCACCTGGGAGAGTCTGGCTAAGTCTCCATTCAGCCCGGGAGGACAGCTGTTGGGGAGGGTCTG